TGGTTTAAACCCACCAGCCACTCCGCGGGAGAAGGATGTGTCTGTCTGCTTCCATAAAGATTTAAAGCCTTAATAAAATATTATATATTCAAAAAAAAAAAAAAGATTTGAAGCCTTGGAAACCATAGGGGATAGTTCTGTCCTGTCCTGTGGGATCGCTGTGAGTCAGAATCCACTTGATGGCAGCGGGTTTGGTTTTTGGTTTGGTACTTAATGCACACTTCCCCCGGATATCTACATGGATCCTTCCGTCACCATCTTCAGAACTCTGTTGAAACTCTGTTCAAATGTCAACTCCTCTATCTCTTTAAAATAGCACTCTTCTCCCTCTCCCCTTCCACTTATTCCCCTTTCCAGCCTGATTTTTCACCATAGCAAGTATCACCATCTCACATAATCTTGTTATTGTCTACTCCCCTCCCCGACTAGAGTGTAGACGCTGAAGGACAGCAGATCTTTGTTTTGTTCACTCTTGTTATCCCCCAACATCTAAAATAGTGTCTGGCATGTATTAGCCTCAATGTACGTTTGTTGAATGAGTGTGTGGAGGATGAGCACACGCAGTGAGCGCACAGTGGTAAACTAAGATGATTCAGAGATCGGTAGGGCCAAAAGGTGAGGACATCTGGACCTAAACAGTAAGCAAGAGTTGTTTAATTAGTAGAGATCCTTGTATTGAATATGGAGATGTACCTGCTGTCTGGCAGCCTTCAGTATAGACCATAGCCCTCTGGGTGTGAAGAGTTTGGAGACAACTGGTATCCAAGGGAAATGCGGAGTTGCGGGGGGCGGGGGGGTACTTGTCAGTCGCTGGAAGTAAACAGGTAATTCTTCTGCTATTCTCCTACTAACAACCCTCCAGACAGACTGGGCTGCAGTGCCCACACCTACCCTGTATATGACCTCTCCAGAGGTCCCCTGGATAAAAGGACCAAGAGATAGCTTCCTGGGTGCTTGATTTTACCTACCAAGCAGGTCTAGTATCCACCTGAGTGGCCCAAGATAAAAAATATACATGTTCCTTTCTCCCTCCCAAGCTCTTCTAGTCTCAGAGACTAGAAAACCAACCCTAGAAAGCGGAGCATATCTGCTGCTCTCCTGTCCCAAAGGTCTGGGTCATCCACCTTGGCTAGAACTCTCCTACCTGTCTAATCCTGGGGCTCTGCCAGGGCTCTTTGGAAGCAGAGAATAAAATCAGGTCCTTTTTCTTTTCTCCTGCAATACTTACTGCTTTGCCTCTCTTATCTCTCAGCCTCATATTTTCTACCCATTCTCCTTTTTCCCCCTAACTCCAGCCACTTAGCAGCAATTGCTGCCATTTGGCCAGACCCAGGGATAGAAAATGGCCTTAATTGTTGTTGCTTTGGAAATGTAAAGTCTTGAGTGGTGTCAGGGACTAGGTAGCAAGACTGGGCCATTAGGAAGAGCGGGCTCAGTGCTGGTATATTTAAAGGGCAATAACCCAGATTGCCTGAGAATCTGTCTCTAACACACAATTTTTTTCTGGTTGAGTTTATTGAGAGAGAATTTACATACAGTAAAATCCGTCCTTTTTAGTGTACAGTTCTGTGAGTTTTAATAGTTGCATATACTTATGTAATCACCATCACAAGATACAGAACATTTCTGTCACCACCACCCCCTCTTATCTTCCCCTTTGCTTTTATCTCCTCCCTCCTCCCCCAACTCCTGGCAGCCACTGATCTGTTTTCTGGCCCTATAGTTTAAGTTGGCAACTAACTCATGAGCGGGTCAGATAAAACATCTGGAAGGTTAAATTCAGCCCACCTGCCAATTTGCTCTTCTGGTTTAGGCTATTATAAAATACTGAAAGCTTTAACTATGTTCCCTGCCAATCCCTGAGGCAAGGACACCCAAAGGCTGGCTTACCTGCTTGAAATGGAGGATGAAGGGAAAGACAAGGAGACTAAGCATAATTTAGTTGAGTAAGTCACCTGTCCCCCTAAAGTTTGTCGAGTGCTTACTATATGCCAGGTATATACTTTGAGAGACAACTGTTGGCCCCGTTTTTCAGAGACAGACATGAGATTTGAAAAGGTTAAGCAGTATAACCAAGAGCACAGACTCTGGAGCCAGACAGCCTGATTTTGCATCCTGGTTTCTTGACTAACGAGCTCTCTGAACTTGGTCAAGTTACTTAACCTCTCAGTGCCTCAGTTTTCTCATCTATAAAATAGGCATAATAATAGTACCTACTTCTTGGGTTGTTGTGAGGCTTAAATGAGTGACTAGATGTAAAGAGTTTAGTACCTGGCACAGAGTGGGTTCTCAAAATTAGCTATTATAATCTGCTGAATCCCCAATACTGTACTAGACTCTTGGGATATACTGGGATGTATTCCATACCCTCAATGAACTTGAACAATTAAGAATGATACCTGTGAAATAATGGTGACCAACTCAGATTAAGGAATTGCATACTAAATTACATAGTATATACTGTTATTATATAAAAAGAGATGCAATCCATGATTACTTTAAGCCTGATGAAAGATCTCAGTGGATTTCTGCTGCCTTCCCACAATTGTGGAAAACACCATTCTTTTAATATTAAATAAGCATATATCCAGTGAGGAGTCAAGGGCTTGCCCTCACCTCCAGCCTGGCCACCCTTAAGGGATGGAAGAAAACCAGTATTTATTGAGAGTACAAAGTGCCAGGTTCTATGCTTTTCAATCATGTATTACCCATTTATTCAGCATTAATATCTGGCACTGTGCTAAGCACTAGGGATTAAAGACTAAATCTGGGAAGGGTTCTCGTCCTTAGGGAGTTATCAGACATGTTAAAAAAGGAGAGAACAATAGTCTTACTGATACGTGGTAAATATTTGTAAAGGAGACCCAGAGGAAAAGCATTAAATTCTACTTAGAGTGAGATGGAGCACAAGGGGAAGCTTTTGATGAGAGCTGATACTGTGAGCTGCCTTGAATGTTGAGAAGGTCTTCATGGGGCTGACTGCAGGCAGGCACGTCGGGTATGCTGAGAAGAAAGCCAGGTGAGAATTTAGCTAAGTGCTAAGAAGTCTGGACTTTATCTTGTGGCTCTTGATGTATCGTTACAACCCCCGAGAGGATTTAAAAAGAAAAAACACCTCTAAAGTTTAGGTTGAAGAAGTAAAACAGCTCACAATCATAAAGTGGTGGGACCAGGATTAGAGGTCTGTTGGAATACAAAACCTGTGCTTTCTGGACTCCAGTCCTCAGCTTCCCACACTACCAGTTCAGTAATCCAAAAGACAGGTCCTGTTGCCCAGCGATCACCTCCTCTGAGCCAGTGCCCAGACAAGTTCAAGACCCCCTGCTCAGGTCTATAACCTCTGCCTCCTAGGAACCCGCAGAGGATCTTCCCACTCCCACCCTGACCTCTGCTGCTCTCCCACCACACCCTACAAGCATTCCATGGCACCCACAGCCACAGTGAACAAAGTTCTGCCAGACAGCCAGCTCTCAACTTCAGAGCCCTTCACCATTGCTGTTGGCCATCCACTCTACCTGAAATACCCTCACCCCATCCTCCCCCCACCATAAACCTAGTTAACTCTAAATTATACTTTCAGACTCAGCTCAAATGTCACTTTGTCCCAGAAGCCTTCCACAACACTATTTCCTCCCTCCCCCTGTGGAATTATTTGTTCATTTTCTGTATTTCCACAACTCCTCATCTGCTCTATAACTTTCCAGACTGGTTATGGCTCATTTTTCTTCATAATTGTGTAGCTATATGGTGGACATTTGATAAAGGACTGTTGAATGAATGGAGTCCTTTTCCTGCTCTCAAAGCCCTGCCTCCCTCCCCCATCACTGGGGCCTTCCCTTCAGCACTCTGCCATGCCTGAGCCAGGTGTCTTGTTATCCCCCTTCTGATCTGTGTCAATCTAGCTTTTCCCCTTGGGGGTTCTACCCTCATCAAAAAGCAAAGCCAGATGACTTCCAGAACTAGAGGAAATTCTGACCTCTCTCCCCACCTTACTGTTGAGAGGGACAGTGAGAGTTAACTAGTGATTTAGGTTGGAAAGGATGAAGAGAGGAAGGGAGCCTTGGCCTCTTGAAGAGGTCACACAGCACACTCTCCCTGAGCCAAGAGCCGCCTTCTGACATCAGCAATAGTCGTAGGCCTCAGTCCTCCAGTTTCCCCGTGCCCTCGCCTCCCCTCTCAGGATGGCTATAATTCTCCACAGGATGGCAACAGCAGGGTCTTGAACGTTATCTGCGTGACCTGTCCCCTAACCGCCTCCCCACCACCTCCACCAAGGGCAGGCACGTGTGCACGAGGATGCACGTGTCCCATGTACATGCATAGGGAGAAGCCTGGGTCACTGGACTCCAGCCTTCCCAGCACCCCCTTTGCACCTTCTATTTCCATGTTTCTGAGAGCCAAATGGCCCAGGCACAGGCTGGAAACTGCCAACAGACACCAAGGCCTTGCCTCAGTGCTGTCTTGGGGACACTGGGAGGGCTGGAAGCAACGCCTACAAGCAGGTGTCCTGCGGCCAAAGATGTGCCTGCACCCCCAGCTGAGAAGGAGCAAGAGTCTGTTCTGTGCCCCACCTGGAGCTGAGTGTTGGGCCGGGGTTGGGGGCTTCAAAGGGGAATTGGACGTGATTCCTGACTTGGGGGAGATAATCCCACAGGACAGACAAGCAGAGACACACAAACTGTTAAACAAATCAGGACCAACATAGACCCCTTTTGGTACTGACAACAAGGATGGGAGTCAGAGGAATACATTTCAGAAGGTTAGGACTGTCAAGGAAGGCCTCACAAAGGAGGAGGTGCCTCAGTGGGCCTTGAGGACCGGGCAGGGCCTGCAGGCAGCTGCTGCTCTGAAAGGCAGCCAGGACTAGGGGCTCTCTGGGTTGTGGGCCCCTCCCACTGCTTCACCACGGTTTGAGACGGGCTGTGGGTCTCTCTCTTTCTGTGTGGGCTCAGTGCAGGCCCTGTCCCTGTCATCTTCTCTGGAGTAACAGAGTGACAGCAGGTGGGGATTTGCTACTGCTCCCCGTTTTCAGCCTTCCCCCTGCTTCCAGACAGTGGTGACAGGACACAGAAATCTGACACACAGGAGCTGGGGTCGGGGGAAAATCTAGTTTGATTCTCTCTACTCCCCAAAACATTGCCAGATGAGTCTGGCTTAAAAGCAACCTCAAGGTCATTCCTAAATAGAAAAGATTTCATCTGAGAGCAGCACGCAGCCTAGGAGAGGGTCTCCCTCACTGTGCTTCGGTGACTCTGTGTGGTTAACTGTTACCTCGAGAATGACTGCTTAGCAACAGAGGACCCCCAAAGTGCAAAGACTGGGGTGAGCACCCCAATACCCTGTGTTTTCAACCTTTCTGCATCTGCCAAGCCCCATGGCATAGCTAGCCCAACCTAGGCGACTCAGCGAGAGCGAAGAAGGGCGCAGGGGCTGAGACCCAGGTCCCCTCTCCTTACTTCCCTGTCCAGTTCTATCCTATGCTTTGTGAGTTTACAGGGCTGAAGCCCCACTCAACCCTGAGGTATCATCACCCTCATTCCAATATAAACCTCTAATAGAAAGCCACTAAGAACTGACTCAGAACAGGACTTCAGTAAATGAATACTGGATGAGTAATTAAATTGAACAGTTGAACAGACAAAGTATCCAGGGGCCTGCAGGAGGAACCACGTGAAGAAGGACTGAAGGTCACAGGACTTGGATTGCCCTGGCCCTGCCAGTGACCATCTGTTAGACCTTGAACAAGTCACTTCCACTCCAACACCCTCATCTGTAAGAACTCTCCGAGGGCAGCGTTTCTCTAAGTGTGGTCCACAGGATCACAAGCAACTGGGAATTTGTTTTCAGTGCATGTTGCTGAGCCTCAATTCTGGATCTATTAACTCTGCAGTTTCGGAAGATGAGGGCTAGAAATCTGCATCTAACAGTAAGCACCTCAGATGCTACCCGAAAACCACGGTGGGAGGACGTATGCTTTCTTCTGCACTGCCTTGATCTCAAGGCTGCTTTTCTCCCCACTCCGAGTCTGGCACCAATCTCTCTACTCCTTTCTGCTCCCAGCCCCCTTGCGCTCCCCACAAGTGGCCAAAGCAGCAGTGTGAGGCAATCCTTCCATCCTTGACCCCTTCCTTTGCACAGTGAAGGATGACTTTTTTATCTCCTAGCAATGAAGCACAGCCTTCAACTGGGGGCATTTAAGACACAGAATCCACAGGGAGCCAGCCACAGCTGCAGGACCCAGACAGACCTGGATAGGCTCAGGCAGAAGCAGCACCCTTGAGAGCAGAGGCGGCAACAGCAGCAGCAGCAGCAGCACTACACCTGCCCCGCTGCCAGGAAACAATGCTACTAGCCACGTTTAAGCTGTGTGCCGGGAGCTCCTACAGACACGTGCGCAACATGAAGGGTGAGTTCCCCGAGGTAGGAGTAGGCTTTTTGGGTAGTGACTAGGAGCTCTCAATGTGATTTAGTGGGAAAAGTACTGAACTAGGAGTCAGGCCACCCAGGTTCTGATCCCAGCTGTGTCTCTTATTGGGTGAGCCTTCCCTTCTGGGCCTGTTTTCCCATCTGAAGAAAGGGGCTGAATACTAAGATGCCTACATCCCTTCCAGATTCTGTCATTTCTGGTCTCCTCTCTAGGGCTCCGGTCTTTCTTGAACTATTCCTGACTTTGCCCTCCTCGAGGGCTCAAGGTGGCTGGTACCAAGGGTACCAGGAATGTCTTGGCCACAGCGGTAGGGTAGAAATAAGCTTTGACTCCAACAAGCAGTGGCAGCAAGCTTGAGGCACAGGCAGTGGAGAGAGAGGGGGAGGAGAAGGGGTTAAGACATCAGAGTACTAAGATGAGAGAATGTGGGTGGGGGGCAGGGAAGTCATCACTGTACAGTCGGGAAGAGATGGAAACCAGTTACTAAATGCCACTTTCGTAGAGCTAATCAGGACCCCGAGGTCATTTCAGCCAACCCCCTGTTGCCATCTAAACAAGTCCTTTCCAAACACATTGGTTGAATTAACTACCATTTAGATAGAAGCCATGCTTGGAAGACCTGAGCCCGGCAGTTGGGTCATTCTCACTAAACCCAACAAGACTTGACTTGTCCAGTGTCACACTGAGCATTTTGCTCAGGCAAAGGACCCTAACACGGGATAGTTTATTCTCCTGCGGCTGGATTTTCCTGGGTTGTGTGGACAAAGCTCTCTCCCTTTTGGGGAGGACAGACTCAAGCCGACTTCCGGTACAGCACCTGCCTCCAGCAGGATCAGTGTGGACCACCCAGGTGGAAGGCAGATTTCTGGGCCCCGGAGGCAGCCTGGTGTAGAGGAATGAACTGGGAATTGAGACCCAGCTCTAGTTCAGGCTCCCTACTAGGAATCCGTGTGTTCCTGACCAAGTTATTTCCCCTCTCTGGGCCTGTTTCCTCATCTGTGACAACACAGCGGGTAGAATGGTCCTTTTCTAAGCATTTCCAGCTCCCGGGCAACAATTTCTTTCCCTCTCTGCAGGCCTCAGGCACCAAGCAGTGCTGGCCATTGGCCAGGAGCTGAACTTGAGGGCACTGGGCAGCCCGGCCCCTAGTGCATGGATCAACCAGGTCCGGCGTCGGAGTTCTTTGCTTGGTAAGTTTAAGTGCTGAGGCCTGGGGGTTTCTGCCAGGGTCAGGAGGCTCCCAGGGTACAGAGGTTGGACCTGTGGCTCCACCACCCCCCCACCCCGTTCCCTCTCCCACTCAGTTTTGGGAGGATGGGAATAGAGTCCTCAAGGCCAGATCCCTTTCCTCCCTGTCACCTGCAGCTGCTGTGTATTTCACTTGGCCTGCAGTCGGGACCCTATGGCTTTGGTCTTGACTCTTCAGAGGAAAGATAAGAACCAGAGATCAAAGGGATGGAAACTGGTGGGAGGATGGGGAGGCTGAAGGAAGTGCTGTCTCCTCGGCTGTGTACCCAGGTTCGCGGCTGGAAGAGACTCTCCACAGCGACCAGGAGATGGTCTATATTCGGCAGGGAGAGGAAGCCATGCAGAAGGCCTTGGGGATCCTCAGCAACCAGGAGGGCTGGAAGAAGGAGAACCAGCAGGTAAGGGTGAGGATGGCGAAGCCCACAGCTCCTCACTGTTCCACTGGTTAGCAAGACCAGCCGGGCCCCTGCTCTTCTCAGATTTCTGCCTTGTGCAGCAGTCATCAGGCAGCAAGTGTTTTTAACTTAAGAACTCCTGTTTCCCAAGAATATATCCCAGACAAACCTCCCAACCCCATCAAAGGTATCTGGAGACTCCGGTTTGAGAAACACTGTTCCTGTGGCCTTAGCTACCCTCCAAATACATTGTGCACCCATTCAGTAGAGACCATGAAATGGGGACTCTGTGTGTATTATAGGCCTCATCATTCCTGGGTCAGCAAACCCACAGCACCAAGACAGTGTCTGTTCTGATCAGCCCACTGTGTGGTTGAACAGTGCAGGGATGGCTTGGGTTCAACCGTGCAACAGGGCTGGACTATATAGAACATGGGCCCAAGGCATTCTGGCGTTCTCTGAATGCTTCCTGAGAGCTCCACCAGCCAGCACTGGGTACCAGTAACAAGGCCCATGTTAAAGGTCAGTGGCTCTATTACTTGACACTTTGGTGGCTTTATGTTCAGCAAAAACTTACATGCTGCCTATTACCCAAAGTTCAGGTAAAACCTCTCCTTCCCCAAGCTCTCAGGGTAATGCAGGTTAACATACTACTAGTTTGAGAGTCAAGAAACTTGGGATCTAGGTCCGTTACTGCTCTTGGTTGAGGGATCTGAGCAAATCACTGAATATTCTGGGTCTCACATGCTTCTTGTATGAAATGATATTGAACTAAAAAAACTCTTAAGATCCCATCCAACATTCTCTGTATCAAATTAGCTGGTTGTAGGCAAGACTTTTCCCACTCCCAGGTTTGTCTCTCAGGATCTTTAAGCTTCTGAGGTCAATTAAGGGTCTTTTCAGTTGGACCTACCCAAATCACAAACAAAAAGTCCAGGGGCAGGTAGGTAACCTCTTTGTCTTCAGCGGATGTATGAAACTTACGGCAGGAAAGATAACTACTCTATCTTAATGGGAAATAGTCCCAGGCTTCCTTATGCTTAGCTTGGAGTTTTTTGATCTTCCCCTACCTTGCCTGGTATTGCCTATGTGCCCTAGGCTAGGAATATTTTTCGCTAACCTTTATCCTGGGGCTCTTTTCTGTCCCTGACAGGCAAATGGGGACACAGTGCTGAGTAAAGTGGTCCCGGATGTGGGCAAGGTATTTCGGCTGGAGGTGGTGGTAGACCAGCCCATGGAGAGGCTCTACAAAGAGCTTGTGGACCGTATGGAGGCAATGGGAGAGTGGAACCCCAATGTCAAGGAAATCAAGGTGAGGAGAGTCCAGGTGTGAGTGGCAGGGACCCAAGGGAGCCTAGTCTGAAAAGCAGCCTAAAGAAGCCATCCCATGTTGTAGGTGGTATCTTAGCCTAGTACCGGCTAAGTAGTGACTCTGGTTCCCTTGTGGCCTGGCAGGTTCTGCAGAAGATTGGAAAAGATACAGTCATTACCCATGAGTTGGCTGCAGAATCTGCAGGAAACCTCGTGGGGCCCCGTGACTTTGTGAGTGTGCGATGTGCCAAGCGCCGAGGCTCCACCTGCGTGTTGGCTGGCATGGCCACACACTTTGGGGAGATGCCTGAGCAGAAAGGAGTCATCAGGTAATACTGGCAGCAGGCTGAAAGTTCCCTTCTAACACAGGCCGGTGGGCATTCACTCACCAAGTGTATGACGGTCTGAATCCCCAGCTCCAAGAAATTGATTCTTTGTCCCCATCCTCAAAGAGCCTTTACAAAGGATGTAGATTCTCATTTTCCAAAGTAGGGGATAAAGACAAGATTCCCCCACCACAGGCAGCCAGTTTGTTTTGAACCTCCCAGTAAGTTTAAGGATCTTAATAATTTTCTAAAGCAAGGGCATGGTTGACATTCACCGAGTATGCTCAGGTCTAGTTGGGCTGGCAATTAAAATCTCAAAATAATTTGACACAACTTAGAAGATAGCTGCTTCCCGAGTGTCCCAAGGGCACAGCCACCAGTGTGGATCTTTTCCCCACCTCCCCATAATTTAGCAACTAAAAGGCCCAGCAAGTGGTCTCCAGGTTCCTGCTCCACTATAAGCAGCATCTGTTTGATGAGCTGGTAACCATGTTAACATGTTAAATATCATCCTTGGCAAAGGACACTTCTCTGACGACATTTGGGATAAGACAAGGTGCTCTAGAAATGTGGCTAGTGTAACTAGGCAGCCTAAGAGAGAACTCTGAATTGTCTTCTTGACTGTACCTCTACTCATTTGTCAGAGCTGAGCATGGTCCCACTTGCATGGTGCTTCATCCCGTGGCTGGAAGTCCTTCAAAGACCAAACTCACTTGGCTACTCAGCATTGACCTCAAGGTAAGGGGTATGGGAGGTGGCTCAGTGGGTAGGTGGTAGTGAGAAAATAGGCTCTTCCCTCTCCATACTATACCACATGAACAGGAAGAATCCTCTTCCATTTTCATAGAATCATAGACTGTTGGAGAAGGAAGAGACTTGAGTGATGACCTAGTTGATATTCCACCATCTTACAAGCCTGCAATGGCTCCCTCTTACCTCTCACATAAAATTTCAACTCTAGTTATCATCATTTTAGATACAGAAACTTATGCCCAGAAATCTTAAGTGTGAGAGAGGGGAAGTAACTTGTCCAGGGTCACACAACTGGGAAAATACAGGGTCGAAATTTGTCTTGACTGCAAATCCTGTACTTCTGACACTGCTATGACAGCAAGGTGGCAATGAGGTCCTCCAGCCCTTGACCCTGGTTGCACCTGTAAACAGAACTGGAAGACCAAGTGTCAGGCAACCCATAATGTTTGCGACAGGGGGCAGAGGGGCCTGGAGTGGAATATCACCCAAAGATGACCAAACTATCTTCTACTCTAGGGGTGGCTGCCAAAGACTATCATCAACCAGGTCCTATCACAGACCCAGATGGATTTTGCCAAACATCTGCGCCACCGCCTGGACTCCAGCCTAGCCTCTGAAGCCAGGTGTTAAAGACCAGCCTGCTGCTTCCAACTGTTCCTAGATGCGTCGACATGCATGCTCAACAAAACTCCCTGCTAGAAGCCTGCAAGTCTGTTTAAGATCCTCATCTGGGGACAGTGGGAAGTGGGATAGGGTTGCAGTGTTTAGAATATACTACTAGGACTCAGCTTGGTAAAATACAAGCACCAAGAAAATATGGGTGAAGCTCCTGGATAAAGAGGTAGAGCCTTCTCACTTCATTCATTGGTTAGCTGTGAAATGAAGGCTAAGGCTCCCAAAACATTTGTAAAATTTCTTCTAGGCCCTTACTTGCCCACCTAAAAACATTTTAAAATGCTACTAGCCAGTGTGAGTGTGGGGAATGCTAAGAACAGGGACTGGGACCTCATGCTTTATGGATTCAAGAACATTCCCTGCAGGCAGTGTGTTGGGGTAAAGCCGAACTTACAAAGGGGGCTCCAGTTGCTTGAGTGACTCCCTATAGGAGGTACCTTCCAGAAATCCATTCCAAGGTTTTTCTATGGAAAAAATACGAAACTAATTAGTAGACTGGTTCCCTACTTCTTCCAAGAGCACTAGTCAGAATAAAGAATCATAACTAACACAAAAACATCAGTCTGAACCTATTTTAAAATTCTACTCTTAAAAAAAAAAATCTAGTAAATTGCAACTTCATACTAGAGATTTCCTGGACAAAGAAAAATCAAACCAATTCCTCCAGCTCATTAAAAGGAAAGAAACTACTGGAGGTTTGTGCCATTCAATTATTTAGAATCTGCTATCAGAATCTTTTATTAAAAATTTAATTTCCATGGTAAATACAAGCCTAAAATCGGTTCTTACAGAGGTCTACAACTAATAGCTGATTAATGGGTACTGGAAGATGAAGATTATGACTGAAGATTTTTATTTATCTAATTAAACGGAAGGATAATGCCAGACATGAGAAAAAGAACAGTATTTCTAAGATAAACAAAAACAAACTTTATTATTTTCCCATCAGTGATTGTTTAGATCTAAAAAGGGTACTGAATCTTCAGCTCAGGGTCAATTACATCAGTTGTTAGAATTTCTGCTATTTATGGTATCATTTAGTTCTGAGAATGCCACAGCTGTCAGCTCAGCTTGGGGCTGCCAACTTTTCTGCTTTCATAGGCTAATATTTCACTATTTTGGGAGAGGACGTGCCTGGAGGGAGAAGGGAATATGGTGATGGCAAATTTCCTTTCCAGGATTCAGAGAACTTCTGCTTTAAAATATAAATACAGAATACTTTGCTAAAATTTATAAGTAGGATGAAGAAGCTTCTCCATTCTAGTTCTAGTAACATTGATGATTGCACCATTTGGAAATAGGGCTCTAGCTTATTTATTCAACAATTAGCAATAGCAGGAATACAGGTATTTATTGAGGTACTGAAATTTTACAAGTGATAGAAAGTATTTATTATTATTTATTCTGACTGTTTCTTAATCTATTTTGGCATGGATGAAATTATAGTTTATCCAAGAGCTTCAGAGTGAGAAGATAGTTGTAGAAGTATTTCTAGAACAGAATTACCATCCCCTCCCAGCTAAAAGAAAATGGTTACTTTTTAAAAGATGTGTGAAGAAACAAACTCTGGTTTCAAAAGAAAACAGGCTGACGGTAAAGAAATGGGCTTTCAACAAAGATCATGATTTTGAACTGGATTATAATTTGTCTTCTTCAAACTATGTAACTGTGTTTTTGTGGTGTCTGGAGAGATGTTTTTCCCGCTTGTTTTAAATATTACATTAGAATAAAACAAGTTGTCTCTGATGACCTGCTTATAGAAACCATCATATACAGGACTATATGAAGATGGGGACAGTGGTGGTTCAGTGGTAAAATTCTTGCCTTTCATGCGGGAGACCCGGTTTCAATTCCCAGCTAACGCGCCTTCCGAGCAGCCACCACCCATCTGTCTGAAGGCTTGTGCGTTATTATGATGCTGAACAAGTTTCAGTGGAGCTTCCAAACTAAGATGGACTAGGAAGAAAGTCCTGACAATCTACTTCCAAAAATCAGTCACAATGATCAGAGATGGCACAGGACCAGGCAGCATTTTGTTCTGTTGTACATGGGGTTGCCATGAGTTGGGGGCCAACTCAGCGGCAGCTAACAACAAATATGAAGAGTGGATATTCTTTGAGCCTTTCAAATGATTAAACAAAAGCCATATATTTTTAATATGAAGTATAAACCAGAAAAATCATTATTTCTGTAACTTCTGATTTATGAAAACCAAATACACAAAAATCTAATTTTATAATTTAGGTGGAGAATAGGTATATAACTTGTAAGTGGTAATTTATATTATAAAGAATTTACCTTTATCTTCCTCTAAATAACATCACCCTCATTTTCTTGTAGTCCTTCAAACTCTCAAGATCCAGAAGTTTCTATAACCAGATCTGTCCGTTAAGACCAGCCCAAGAATTAATAGTATCTAGGGGTGACAAGCCGAGACTCCAGCGTGTGAACATGCTGGCTCTATGTCAGCTTTCCTGTTAAGAGATGTGAAGTAGTGAAATGCACTAAACGAAGGGTCTAGGTAATTCATCTGGAGACAAATATGTCAAAGCTACTGTGTTAAGATACCAATATTCACTTGAAATTTGGGCAATTTCTTAAACAGGAAAATGACAAGAAAATATTTAGAAGAGCCACAGACATAATGTATGGTGATTCTGTGGCAACACATCACCTACTTCTTAGGGAACCATCTACTTATTAGAAAGTTATATGCAGCAGTCTGTGGGGCAATCCTGGGAGGGCTGCATTTGCCGTAAGACTGATGTGTTGTTTTCACCTAAAAAAGGGAGGCAGGAAAGCCATAAAGAGATCCCAAGGGAAGGATCACCCTCACATTCCAATTTTTAGTATTGCAAAGGAAGATAAGCAAGGCAAGAAAACAATCTGCACAGACCAATACCCATATTCAAAGACAAGAGTAGGAGAGAAACCATTAACCCTTTAAACTCCTGTTCACCTCCTTGTGTGAAAAGTCCCATTTCCCCAGGGTAAAAGGGGTGGTTGATTGGCTGGCTAAAATAGAAGCAACAGGAGAGGCGCTGAGATCCAAGTCAGAAATGTGCCTCTCCCTCCAGTGCCCAATACCCTTCGTCACACTGCCCCCACTTCTGACACTATCACCAAGAGCACCCCAACCTGAGGGAACCAAAATGCCACACAAACTTGAAAACAAGTTTTATTTGGGAAGAGTTTCTACCTTTGTTAAAGCTGCAAGCAAGTTCCTTTCACAATTATAGTTCTAGAGACCTAGTCGTTTCAGAGACCAGTGTTAAAAGTATATTTCAAAATTAGTAACAAAAATAAACCTGCACCAAAAGGAAACAACTTTTAGACTGGTTTGGAATGTACAGCCGTTGATGTCAGCTGTTCTCTGAAATAAGCCAACCACTTCCTTAGAAATCAGACGGGATGGAGTCAATACCTACAGAAGGAATTAACTTTGAATAAGTCAGCTATTTGGACAAGATTATTCACTCCTTAGAAAACAGTTAAGGTAACAAATTCCAGCTGGGGGGGTATGTAGGTACAGCACCAATTTCACAGGGAACTTACAGGATTGTGGGGTCAGCAGATGTTGGCATACGGTATACAACGTAAGAGCATTCACTGAAAGTGAGGAAAGAATATTAAAAGGGCAGAGGTTTCCCTTGGTCCCCATCCTGGACTTTTAACTTGCAAAAAGTAGAGGCTGTGTGCTGCAGCATCTTAGGAAGAACACTTAAAGCAGTTAAAAAAATAAAAATAAAAAATAATACACCCGGTATTATTCTCCAGAAAGTCCATGTCTGAAAAGAAAGAGGAAGCTCGTCAGGGTTCCCATGGGGGACTCCGTCTCCCATCCACTTCTGTCTCCACATGATATAAGACATCAGCCAGAGTATGTTCTACCACAGCGCCCCAGCCCATGTCACTCATCTGCAGGAGGAACAAGAAACAGGGAAATGGGGTGATTAAAATCACCATAACTAAGAAATAACAAAGATACTGAGGATGCAATGCTGACATGTTTAATGTTACTCACAGGGCGATAAGTGAGATCCTTTGGAGGATACTTGAAGCATGGTCCAAAGTTAATGGAAACCTGGGATAAATTCAATTCAAGCAGAGATGAAAAAACACAAGAATATTGAAAAAGTTAATTTGACACAGGGAATTTTTCTCTTTAAAACATAGTTGTGATGTCCAGGGTATAACTGGAACGAACGTATGTTGTCTATTAAATTGCTAAAAGTGGTCAACACCCTAATGTCCATCAAGAATTAGGTCAATAGATCTGTGCTGATTTCTGTTCACCATCTATGGACTTCCTTATTTTACTGGCTCCACTGGTGGCTACTGACAGACTAAAAATACACGGAAACCTCCAAGCATTAAATTTTCAATCACTTTTTTTTTTTTTTTAACCAGGCCCTAATGAAGCTAGTTCCCTTCTTCCTGCTGGATCATACTTTTTTTTTAAAAAAAAAAAAAAAATCAATATAAGCCAAAGTTATTAACCAACAATGGTAGGTTATCCTGAGACATCATGACCAAATTGATTTACAAATGTATATACTTTATATCCTTTACATTAAAAAATTTATGCTCCACAGAGTACAAAGGAAAAGTATAGGTTACACTAAATGCATGATCTTTATCCACGGGAATGCTTCCTAAAAGCCCTAAACTGTTTGTGGACCAAACAGTAACAGTAGCAACACATTCCCGTCTTGCTCTTAGGCCTACTCAGATTTCTTTCTAGAACTCAATCAACGGCCATTCACCCACTTCTCTCAAGTTATGTTCACAGGATGCACATGATACATACCGTGCAGCTCTTGTACAGTGAGATGGCTGGAAAGTAAACTCCCTCAAAAATATCTTTGTAAGCCACACCTTGATTGACACCATTTTTATAAAATATTATCTGAAACAAAAACCACTGGTTTTATTTCAGAATTTAAAGAGAGAACAAACAAAAAAAGAACTCACTTGGAGAACCATTTAAGTGTTGCCACCATACCAGACCACCGCTATAATGTATCCCAAGAAGAGCATAAGCTTGTATAACAAAAATATCTTATATTTATATAATACTTTAGGGTTTTTAATGTATTTTTACATGTGCCGCTCTAGTTGGTCTTCAGGTTTCGTATTTTCTGAACTTCTGTGTGATTTGATCAAACAGTTCCACATCTGATTATTCATTATATTGTATTTATAAAAAGTAATTTAGTCTTCCACTGATTCCTTGGAACTATACCTATTGAAGTTTTTTATTTAGTTTTTCTCGCCTTCTCTTGCCTTAGGTTCCTACTTGTACCTTTCCAATGTGAAGACGTCTTTGGATCTTCTATCACAGTCTCTGAATCCTCGTTTTCTTTTTTCTCTTTCCCTTAATTATCCCGAATATTTTCTCTTAACCTCTGTAGTGACTTCAGAAAAGCCTCCTTTTGCTAAAACAACTTTCTTTGCCTCCTCTTCCCAGCAAGAGCCATCTTCTCTCTGGCTATATCACTCCTAGATCTGTTAACTGTTTCCCTTTACTATTTTTCCCTAACAGTAACTAGAACCAAGTTTCTTTATTCTTCCTACCTTCCCTTTTATTACTGTCCCAGGTGGTTCACTGCATTTTTATGAAAAATATTTCCAGCTCAGAACTTTCTTCCTCCTTTTCTCAAACTTTAGTTTTTGGCCCCTGCGGCTGGCCCTGGTGTACCAGCCTTTGATTGTGCTATGACCTTGAGCAGACATCTACTCAACAACCTCGGGAAGGAGAAGTAGAGAAAATTCTAGAAAACGCTGAGTGAGCCATTATACCTCCTGGTGCTCAGGGTCACAGAGCAAGGTCTCCTCTCCTATTCCAGTGTTTCTTCCTTTGCTCTCGTCACTTCCCCTGATAAAGAACAAATTATCTGGCTTGCTTCTTCAATCTCCTGTAGATTCTCATTATTAGGCCACTGTTTTTATACTGGAGCCCTGGAGACACAGTGGTTAAGAGCTTAGCTGCTAACTGAAAAGGCCGGCAGTTCGAATCTACCAGCCTCTCCTTGGAAACCCTATAGGGCAGTTCTACTCTGTCCTATAGGGTTGTTATGAGTCAGAATTGACTCAATGGCAATGGGTTTTTTTTGTTTTTATACTGTTTCTTTCTACGAACTGCTCCTGAAAGAACCCTCTTCCAGCAGCAGCACAGGATTGTACAAACAGCACAAAGACAGCAGAGTGAGTCTCTGTGCGTGCTCTGCTCCTGGCGAGCCGTATTACCAGCAAATTCCGTCACTCCTCTCTGGGCCTCATTTCATTATCAGGGCTCTGGTCCCAATCTTTAACGTCTTTTAGATCCGAAGTTATGACTATGACTCACCTCACTATGGGGAGTCTGCTTTAGACTCTTCTCTGCCTTATCCACAAAGTCTTTTTCTTCAAAATACAAATAACTTTTGAACTTTATCAAAGCCTTGAAAACAAAGAGAGACAGGAAAAAAAAAAAAAGGCACATTGAAGTATTAGCTACATCATAAAAATTTTAGAAAGCCAGATTCACACAAATAGCACTGAGTCCTTGTGCTATACAACGGAAATTAAAAATCTTCATGGAACTGGTTTTGAACTACTATGTAATTCTTAAAAAGTTAACAGCACACATTTGTCAAACATTTTCAAAAAGGCCTTTACTAAGAAAATTTGTGAGGAAACATACATATAAATACACACACTCTAATCACAACAAAAATACCCACAAAAGTGGCCACATTAATTCATAGATTTCTTCCCCTCAATGATTTCAGTGAAAAAAAATGACAGGTTTACCAGGCCTAAAATTCCTTACTCTATAAAAACAAAATTTTGAAGGGTCAGCTTAATATCACTATTTAGTTCACTCCTAGTTCCCTACCTGTTTCTCTCACAGGTGGTCTCTGGGCCACCACCTTGTCTTGCTGGTTCCCAAGAGTCTGTATAACTATCTACTCCCAGACAAACATATGACATTAATTTTTTAAAATTCCAACTTTCTAGCACATACATGTACTACCCATATAAAAAAAATTTCAAAAGAATATAAAATGAAGAGTATCTCTCCCTCTCACCTCTCCCTCAAACCCTAGTCTCCCTCACCAAAAGGGCTCACTGTTTCAGTTTCCTAGTATACATCTGGAGAGTCTAGGCACATTAACATAAAAATTTCAAAACATACACAAACAAAAACACATATCACACAAACACACAAAGAAACAAGCAAAACCAGCCATACAAATGGCAGAATACTATACATTCTGTTCTGCATCTTGAGTTTTTCACTCAACAAGATGTCTTGAGAATTACTGCACATCAAAATATATGTAGTTTTTAAACAGATCCACAGCATTCTGTTGTATGGATGTATTATTAACAAAGACCCTTGTGTTCTATAAAACCAAGCATAAATGTGGCGTATATTTAAGGGTTCTAGATGGCAGGAGGTGCAGTGTGAGTGACCAGTGCGATGTGACCAATAAAATGGGATCTGAGGCTGCTTATTATAAAAACAAATTTGAAGGATTTACACTACTCAATTTAAAGACTTATGCTAAAGCTACAACAGTCAAGACGGTGTGGTATTGGCATAAAGACGAACCAACAGATAAGTGGAATAGAACAGAGACTCTAGAAATAAACCTATACTTATACATGGTCATGTGCTTTTTCCTAAAGGCACCAAAGCAATCCACTGCAGAAAGAAAAGAGTTTTTCTCTTTTTCTTTTACAAATGGTGCTGGAATAACTAGATATTCATATGGAAAAGAAATTAACCTCAACCCCTACTTCACACCATACACAAAAATTAATTCAGGGTGGATCAGGGACCTTAATGTATAAGCTAAAACCATAACTCTTTCAAAGGAAAACATAGGACAATATCTTCATAATGTGGGAGGAGGCAAAGATGTTTTAATTCACAAAGAGCAATATAGCTATAAAAGAAAAACAATAAATTAGACTTCATAAAAATGAAAAACATTGGTTCATCAGAAGACACTGTTAAGAAAATGAATGGGCAAGTCACAGACTGGACGAAAAATACTCAAAAAAACATATCTGACAAAGGACTATAATGCAGACCATATACATAAAGAAATCCTACAACTCAGTAATTAAAAAAACAGCCCAATTTAAAAATAGGCAAGATATTGGAACTGAAACATCACAAAAGATAGATGAATGGCCAATAAACACACACAAAATGCCTAATACCATCAGTCATCAAAGACATGCCAAATAAAACCACACCAGAATGGCTAAAACTGACATACAACACAAAATGCTGGCAAAGATATGGAGCAAATAAAACTCTCATACACTGTTGATGGGAATAGAGAGTTTGGCAACTTCCTATAAAACTAAATATATACCCACCCTCTAACCCAGTAACTCCATTTCTAGGTACTAACTCAAAAGAAACAAAAACATATGTTTACAAAAAGAGCTGCATGAGAATGTACAAATACTTTATTCATAACAGTTCCAAATCTGCAACAGTCCAAGTGTTCATCAATAGGAGAATGGATAAGCTGTGGCACAATCATACAATGGAATTCTACTCATTAGTAAAAAAGAACAAACTAGAGATACATCCAACAATATGGATGAATCGGAAAAGCATTATGCCAATGATAAAAGCTGAATACAAAAGACTACATACTGTATGATTCCAGTTGTATAAGTTCAAGAACAGGTAAGACTAATCTATGGCGGGGAAAAAAAAAATCCAAATAGTGGTTGCCTCTAGGAGGAGAGAGGTGGGGATTGACTAGCAAAAGGCAAGAGGGAACTGCCAGGGGCGATGGGAAGATTCAGCATCTCCACAGAGTTTGGGTAAACTCAAAACTCGGTGAATGTACACTTAAAATTCGTACAGTTAATGTAAATTTTACATCACAAGAAAAAACTAAACAATATTTGAACTCTAGCTAATGATATGCATACTGAAGTACTTAGAAGGAAGTATACTGTGTCTGCAATTTTCTCTGAAATGCATAAAACTAGATGGTTAGATGGACTGATGGATGGATAACGTGTTAATGATAAATACAGGTGGTGAGTACATGGGCACTGACTCTAAAATTCTTTCAACTTTGTTGTATGTTTGAAATTTTTCATAATAAAACATTGGGGGAAAAAGTGAACAACGGTCAGCACCCTAAGAGCACGTGCAAGCCACGGCTGCAGGCACTGGCTGCCAACGGTCTTCAAATCCCCTGCAATCCCTTGGGAGAGGACAAACTCACCTTATCTTTATAAGTATCAGGAAGTGACTTGGCTGTCTCTGTGTCTTCAGGAAGATTGATATAAAATCCCAGGATGTCCCCCTGTCCATAGCCAGAAGAGTAGTGTTTGCCAATGGACTGGTGGAATTTGGTTCCCTTTTTGCTCCGCCAAGAATAGCTAAATTTATCATAACCTAAGGGAGCTTGAAGGTTACCTGTCCCAATAAAAGGATATGCAGAAGTCAGGGATTGCAAGTCAACTCTGGGTTGCTAAAGGAAAAGATTCTATTCTTTTCTATTTTTATATTTTTTCATCAATTTTGTAAAACTGCTAATCATTTCTCACAAGCAAAGAATTATTAAAATGTTCCTAGGAACCGCAAACCAGCAAACCTCCCAGGAACTTCATTTTCTGCGCATAATTACATAAGCTCAGTCTTGACACCTTAGTCAGATAGTTTATACCTCTATCTGCTGTAATGTCCGTATCATGGCCTCAGCTTACCTAAGGGCTGGGACCAACCCAGTCTAGCAGCAGTGTCTGGAGGCATCTCATCCACAGTGATTTCAAAGTACCAGGCACCTTTCCGTACCCCATGAGAGGCTCGCACCATAGAGTAGCCCTTCTCGCCAACCACAGTCAGTCGGTCATCCGAGATCTTCAGCTGGGGAGCTGCAGTGATAGAGATTAAAACAGCCCTGCAACTTATCTGAGGTACTTGGAGACAACTGCCACAAAACTATTAGCCCCTCAGGCTACAGTAAAACAAAATAAAAAATCAGAAGTATCAGGTCAGGAGTTTAAAAATCTCAACATAAGACAGACAAAGGAGAGGAAGAAAGCTGTTTGGTAATTTTACATTTAACATGACAGGATAAAATTAACTGTACTGCATATTCTGTCTAACAACTAAATGTAATGTTTTTGGATCCTGACTTAAACAAACTATCTTTAATAAGATTTAATTTTTACTGTAAAACAATTTCAGACTTTCAAAATTTGAGTTCCCTTACATCCTTCATTCAGCTTCCCCAAATGTTAACATCATCTATAACCATAATACAATAATCAAAACCAGAAAATTAACACCGATATAACACTATTAACTAATCTGTAGACGATATTCAAATTAAGCCAATGATCCAAATAATAATATTCTTTTCCTGGTCCAGGATCCAACCCACTGTGTGTAGTTGTCATGTGTCTTCAGTCTCCTCCAATCTGGTAGAGTCCTCAGCCACTGTCCTTCATGGTACTCAGTACTGGCCACTTAGTTTGTAGAATGTCCCTCAGTTAGGTTTGGCTGCTATCAGACTGGCAAAAATTAAAATACAGGACAACACATTCTGTTGCTGAGACTGAGGGGAAACAAGCAAACTGCTACAACCCTCTTGAAGGGAAATTTGGCTATACTTAACTAGACTACATATGTACTTACCTTCTGGCCCAGCAATCCCACTCTAGGAATCTACCCTGAAAATATCCCACCAAAAACATGTATGTTCAACGCTCACAGTTGCTTTGTTTGTAACTACAAAATATTGGAAATGATCTAAATGCCCATGTATACAGTGGTTGATACAGAGTGATTTCTAGGACATACTTGAAAGGAGATGTAAGAATACACCTGTATCTGCTCACCTGTACAAAACAAATACAGGAAGGATAAAGTAGAAACTAAAGAGACTGGTGACCGCAGTGGGTAGATGGGAAAGCGGTAGAAAAAAAGGAGGGAACGAGAATGGGGTGCCAGGGATGAGTAGGAAATGTCACTCTGACTAAAACGTTTTGTATAACTGTGACTCTCAGACCCACAGCAATGTTTCACATACCCTTCATGCACATTGCACACACTCGTGCACACAAGCACACCCCCCCCAAGATGTGACAGAAACCAAAGTGGCACACAAACACTAACAAATGAACCTAATTGTATTACAAATGAAAAACATACATTGAAGGAGGTGCGGAAGAAAAGAACAAATCTAAGTTGGAAAACAGTATCTTGACTGAATATGGCAAGGTGAAGACAAAAAGAACTGTACATAAATTCTGTAATCTAACTAGTAAATGTTTCTCACGGGGTTAGCAATTCTGAGGCTATTTTACATGCATATTGGAAATGAACAAATAAATATATTATAGACAATTAGAATTAATTTTCTCCCTGTTGGAAAAAGAAGTTACAAACAAGGAAAAAGAGAATGCTGAAACAAACTCTGTGGTGTCTGACTAGAATTGGAAGCAGCAGTATAAACTCAGTATAGCGGTGTGGATATATGTAGGTTAGCACATTCACATATATTTCCTAGCTATGTCTACTGGAAGAATCTAGAAGCAATGGCACCCCAGTGACAACGAGCACACTTAACACCTAGATCTTAATTTCTAAACACCATTCTCCAATCAAAGGAATCAGGGATCCCGGGAGGTACCCCTAGCTGATACCAGGCTAGGCCAGGCAAAATACAAGATGAGTGGAACATCTTGTGATGTCAGTACTTAAAAAAAAAAAGATGAGGGCTTAATGAAAGAACACAGGAGCCAACCTAAAGAAGCTCCTAATGGCCAAAGCTGGAATAATTTAAGCAACAAAATAAAAAAATATTGGATTATACTCCACAGAATAAAATAAACATCTATTTTACATATATATATGATTAAATAAATAAATGAAGAAAGGAAGAAGTAAATAGAAAATCATCAGGGAGATACCACAGTAATTACTGTTACAGACAAGATTAATCGATAGATGCTAAAATAAGCAGGGAAAACTTGATGGAGAAACAGGATATTTACACTCTCAAAGTATCTCCCCAAGATACTCATTAACTACAAAGGGAAGGATAGTAACTTTACACAGTGCAGAAACCACCTTAACCAAATGACTGTTGTCAACATCACCAATAGTAAGACAGCAACATCATGAACCCCATAAGATGATATGAGAAGGACTCATTTCTGTGATATTCTTGCCACAGACACATAGCCTCAGTCTAATCTAGAGAAAACATCAGACAAACCCTCACTGAGTGACATCTGACAAAATAACCGATTGATTTCACGGTAACAAAAGACAGGGAATGGCTGAGGAACTGTTAAAGATTACAAGAGACTAGGGAGAAATAACTAAATGCAATGTGAGATCCTAGCAAAACGACTTAGGGAAACACTGGCAAAATTCAAATAAGGTCTTTAGTTAATAAGATTTACCAATGTTAATTTTTTGGTTTTGATAATACTACTGTTGTATAAGATGTTACCATTAGGAGGAGCTTGGTGAAGGACATATGGATATTCTGTTATTGTTGTCATTCACTGTAAGTTTAAAATTAGTTCAAAATAAAAGCTATAAAAAACCATATACACACACACGTATAAATAGCTGGAATTCATAGTAAGAGTCAGAGAAGGAAATTATTTCTTGTACATTCTGACTAGAGATGGGGGTGGGGTGGGTAAGACTGATGTGTATCTACTTCTAGGTTGGACAAAGCTGATGGCAGTAGTTCAAAGTCACACAGAGTCCAACATTAATACCTTACATACCTCGATCATGTAGGGCTAACAAAACCCGTTCATACAAGCAGGCTCTGTAGAGGTCTCCAGGAATAGGTTTTCCTGCCCAGCAGTCAAGTTCAAGCTTCTCAGGGTCAGGAGCATGGGGATCAGGCTCAGCTAGAATATACCGATAGCCATCTTTGTTAAACGGGTGTTCCAAGGGGTAGCCATGAGGGGGAAGGCGCTGAGCAGAAAACAAAGGGTCACTGCAGAAAGGAAAAAAATCAAATCAAGAAACTGCCCTTACCTTTGTCCAATACTGAGGTAATGAAATTCAGGTCACTTCTTCTTTAGGCTGGCAACAGATGGAAGTGCTCGTATCTCGGGGCTTCTAGTCATTCATTTCTAATAATACATATACTAAAGGAAACCACCCTCCTTCCACTCACCCTTTCTCCCATATCCCCTCTAGCTCAACTGCCTTCAATTCTGTAATAAAGGCCTCTGAATTATTAGATTTCAGCTGGAACATGTAATTTCACAACAAATGCTTTTCATTACTCAAATACGCCATGCTGCCCTCTGCAGGCAAAACAGAGATATGAAAAGGATTAGCTTTATTTAGCAAAGTAGTTTGGGTTAAATTACTTGTGGTCTAGACATCTTCCCAGTGGTCTTTAAGCAGGCAGTGATGTCTATGAAACTGAGCCAGTACACGGTACGGGAGAAAGGGCGGGCAGGACGGAGGGTGATTTCCTTTAGTATATGTATTATTATAAACGAATTAACAGAAGCTCAGAGATATGAGCACTTGCTATCTATTGCCAGCCTAAGTAAGAAGTGACCTGAATGTTATCACCTCAGTACTGGACAAAGGTAAGGGCAGATGCACGAGAAGGCAGAAGCAGAAAGTTTAAGCAAAGGAGCTAACTTTCAACACTGGTTTCACTCCTTCTTGTCCATCTATCCTTTCTCAAGATGCCTCAACAGAACTTTACTTCCCAGGCTTATTACCAAAGGGTACTGCCCTGGGGCCAGTTTGTATGCTAACAAGTTAGAAAAACAAAACCCTGAACAGCCTGGGGTTATTTTGCCCATCAAAATGCTCAAAGTTTGAGAAAAACCTCAGACACCTGAGCTACTGAAGAGTATGCTCTAGTGGACTTTGTCAGTACAAGAGAACACACCAACAGCGGTGGGCAGGGTGGATGTTCTCCCCACCTCCGGGCCTTCTTGGTAGTCCCTGTCGTCCCTCCGTCCTGCTGTTTGCGCTTAGCTCCTCTTCCTTTTCCACTGCTTCCTGCCGCAATTCCTCCTTAGAAGAGAAGGCAGATCACGTTCAACCAGCTGTGACAGAAGCACCATGTGGGTACTGAAACTCCATGGGGACTAACACACCCAACATGCATTTGTGTAACACTATGGGAGGAGTTCCTTCCTGAAAGCATATTGGATTTCACCCTGGTTCTGAATGAGTCTGCCGAGTGTCTCCAAGCCCAGAACACTGAGTTCTGGCAGTAAGCACTAATGACACTGGTGTTACATTTCCAACCTTGCTTTCTTAATGAACTGTACCTACTAGTATACTTTCTGAGGGTGTGACACAAATGCATTTTAACTCATGAAGATTCCAAACACCCACAGCTAGAAAGAATGAAAATGACTGCATGGATAAAGTCCCCCTCCCCCCTCCAAATTAATACAAACATCCATAAGAGAGAATGTCTTCACTTGCTTGAACTGCACGATTATTCCATAAACATAATAAAGACACAATATTTGCTAAAGCACTTAACTTGACTATCCAACAAGACAAAAGTACATCAAACATGGAGAACAAAAATAGAAGTACTAAAAGGTGTTTCTCTCCAGTGCTACTAGACATTCGGTGAGGCTGTGCATGGCACAAGACAGATGGTTTTAAATTTAGTAGGCACTTCTTAGTTCCATACTCATTCATCAGTACATTAAGATCATGCCAATGCATACAACTCAGGTTAGACTAACCTGGCTCGTGGAATTAAGAACAAATATCACCAAGAGATAATTTATATATTTTATACAGAAAAAATATACAGCTTTATACAAAGGCAAAGAATATTGTCTTGTACATTTCTGAAATTGGCACTTTGAAATTTTTGTTGAATTCTGACGTTCCCCTCAATTAGTTGGTTTTCCCCCTTCCAGAAAATGTCCCTGAACTGCAGGAAAACACCTTTATGTAAACAACTGCAAAAAGTACTAGATCTTAAGCTTGGAAATTATCAGCAGTTCTGCTGCAATAAGAAGGATCAAGACGTTGAGGGGAGGTCATATTCTGCATAAACAGGACCAGACCTATGCAGAGTAACAGGTGTTACTCCTGTTTCTCATAAAAGGTTTAACTTTAAACTGTCACAATATCAGTATCTCTAGTTTCAGTTACCTTAATCCTTTAAATAGTTTTTCACTGTCATTTGCATTTTAATTATTTTAAAGTGAAGTTTTAGATCCAGCTTGGACAGAACAAGCAACACTAAGGGGACAACTGGCCATGTTAGGCAGAATATGACAATGTACAAGCTTGTAATTACTAACATTAAACTGGAACTACTGTCTCATATTAAGTGCTATTGCCACCATTTCCACAAGGCTTTAAAATGTTTATTTAGTTTTAGCTTCTACCACAATTCAGCAAAAAGCATTTTCCAAACCACAAAATACTTAAGTCTGAGAGGCTGAAAGAAGACAGAGGAGGAATTCACCTCCAAAAGAGGCTCCACCTGTAAGAACAGAAGTGGCACCATGTATTTGTCAAACTTTAACAATTAAAGGGGAAAAAACGGTGTAAAAAAAGAACAACATGCTTAGCAATTTCTAACCCATCTCAGAATATTACTAACTTTAAAGAAGATTAGATATTTAAGATGCTACTACTCCAAAAGACAAGTTAATGATGTCACAGGTCAGATGAACAGCTAGCTACTTCCCAGCTACCTCAACTCTCATATGAGATCACCATTAGTAACCAAGGGCATTCTCAATATTAGATGGGTTAACAAACAGAAAAACATGCTATCGATACAGAAATGCCATCATATGAAAACACTTTCTGAATAACCTAAAGCTTCAGAGTAAGAAAAATTAGAAAATAAATATAGGAAGTTAATATGGTAATTAACAGCTGAATTAAGGGAAAAGAAGGGAGAGCAACCAGATCTTTCTAAATTAAGTGTTAGTTGTGAGGATACAGATGGGGAATCTAATATAAATACAGTAAATCTGACATTAAAATTGTACCTTGTTTTATGCTAAATCTGTCTCACTTAAGACCAACCTGCAGTGTAAAGTGACAAAAAGTTCTCCTCCATTACCATCTGCCAAATCCTTGGCTAGCTCCTAAAAATTGAGTTTTGGACTTAAAAGCATCTTAGTAAATATCCAGAAAAGGGTCAACCAAAGAACGCCCAATTCTAGGCACATACGGACTTGATAGCTCACAAATGTTTCAGCAATGAGACGTTTAAACACTCACCATTTAGATTCCCACTGGTAGACACAGCACCACTTTGTTTTTGGTTGTCATAAGCAGGACCAATGTTACTAAGATCCTGGAAGGAAAAAATATTCCAGAAGGGAACTATATAATCAAACTAACCTGGTAATGCTCAGAAAACAGAGATAAATTCTAATAGTAATATATCAGGTGTTACTCCTATTTTTAACAGCAATCAGAATTTATAAAGGACAATCCTAAAGAATCTGAAACTTGCAGGGGTCCCAAACGTGGATGACTCAGGGATCAGCAAGTAACATGTACCACGCAGGTCAAGGGTAAGGTCAGAGTGGGTTAAGAATAATGATGAATGGCCATCAACCCAGACTAGTGGGAGGTCCAGGGGAGCAATGCCAAACCGGAGTGTGTAAGTTCCATTTACTCAGCTCCCTGTGGGAATTCAAGCCCAATGTGGTCAGAAATTCTCATTTTACAAGAGAAAACAGAAACTGGAATTTCTACATGAAGTCTCAAATTTTCAGTGCTGGCAAAGCAAACGTTTTAAGGCACAGCTGAAAAATTTGACCTCCTGAGCTGACAAATGTGACCCCTGCCGTAAAATGATGAGTGGAAATTTTATCTTGCCTCATGTTATGCTAAAGATGCAACACAAATTCTATTTTTCTTCATTAACAAAGAATGTTTTAAGGGACAAAATTTGAGATGGCAGATTAGAAATCATTTGGACTGGCATATTTATGCTACAAATGAGAACTCAAAAGTTAAAAAAGATAAATTTCCCGAAACATTTTGGGGAAGAGCCAGGACCAAAACACTGGCTCCTGGTTCAGGGTTAGTGTTCTCTCCACATGCAGCAATAACCATTTATTTGGAGCCCATCACGTTAATGGCATAAAGGCAGTGTGTTATGTGGCAAAGATACAAATGTAAACAAAACCTGGTTCCCTATCCCCAAACGGTGTAACAGCAAATGAAGAATACAAAGTGTATTAACATACCTGATCTAAAAGTCCAAATTTGGGGTAATCTTCTTCTGAGTCTTTACTCCCAGGATCAGGGTGTTCCTTTACCAAGAATACATCTCTTTCCTTACTCTAAAAGGAAAGAGGGTTTTAGTATTGCTAGGAGATTTATACTTCAAAGAAATACCAAATGGATGATCAACCACCAACTCAAGTCAATTCCTAGGTGTAGTCTCCAAAAAAGAGAGCACTGTTTTTAACTCTGATTAGAAAACTATTACATGATCATCTTAAAAATTCAGACAATAGAAGACACTTTAAAAAAAAAAAAAAAAAAGTCAAAGTCCTCCATCCTCCTCACTCAGCCTCCGCCCTTCAGAAATAAACACTGTTAACAACTTGCTGCTGACATCCCCCCTGGTGTTCTCTTTAATTCTCTTTAACTTAAGGACAATAATGTTTAGAACGGGTCTTTTTTTTAGATCAAACAAAAAAACTGCATTCAATTTCAACAGAAAATTACACTTGCAAAAATGCAGTGAACAAAGGTTTCACCACGGGTGATATTCACTCACGACAAAAACTGTGATTTTGTGTGTGGTAACTGCTAAAATTTACACGCTCTCATAGATTTAATATTAAGTCGTTCTCATTTTCTTAGTCATCACATTATCTCATGGTGAGGCTAAACAGAATTTAACTCTTACAAAGAACACTGGTTTCCTAAATGTCAAGCCTAATTAATTTTCGTCTACTTACCATTGTTTTAACAAT